CCACGCTGGCCCTCTTCCAGTCCTCTGGCATCACACCAGAGCCCCACGAGTGCTCGTAAAGCAGCTTGGCAGACATGCCCAGGCCATGGTGAGGCTCATACTCTGTTCTAAGCATAGTGTAGGGGACAGGCTGCCCAGCCACTGGCCAGGGGAAGGTGCTAGCTGCGCTGTCCCTATCTCTGTGCTCTGCCCTGGGCTGCGGCCATGAGAGGTGTGCAGGGCCCTGGCTGCCATTGCAGGGATTTTGTGACATTTATTTATGTTTTTAATAAATTGCAGGGAAGACGAAAGCCAGGAAAGCATCGAGAGCGAAGGGAAGCCCAGATGGAGACTCAGACCTGAGCAGTGCAGGGGAGGATGAGGACCTGGACGATGATGATGATGAGGAGGAAGGAGAGTATGAAGTGGAGGAGGAAGAGGAAGGCAGCGATTCCAATGGTAAGGAGCAGAAAGAGGTGGCAGAGTCGTGGCTGCCCCTCAGGAGGTTTGTAATGGGTTTTTAAGCACCAGGCCCCCCCACTTCAACCTGGCTTCACCATAAAGGCAGGCATCGCTCTCCCCTTGCCAGGCCTGGAGGTTTTCGCCCTTCTGAAGCTGGGTGCTGCAGCAAAAGATTACAGTTTATGAGGCACTGGTGCTAACAAGCTGCCAGGGGGCTTTCATCTTTGCTCAGGGGCCTCCTGCCATGAGGGACTGGCTTGGCCTGCCTCACTGGGCCCTGGCTACAAGGCTTTCCAGGCTCTCTACATGTGCACCCAAACACTGAGTGTCTCTGGGGCTCAGCACCACGAAGGGTTTTTCCTTTTTGGGCTGCTGGTTCTGCCTTTTGTGGGCAGCGAGGAGGTGGTGCTCCCAGCAGCAGCGAAACAGTTAATGATCTCTGCAGCTGCAGCCCCGTTGCCTTCCTACCATCTATGCTCCCAGCATTGGCCTGCCCCCTCAGCTTACAGCTGCTGCCGGAGAAGGGGATTCACGCAGGCTGCGCACGGCTGCTCTGGATGGCACTGGCACTGGCACTGCTTGGTGCCTGCAGAGAGGAAGCACAGCTGGGCTCCGATGCTGGCTGAGTACCTCCAGCCATGTGCCCAAGCTGGGTCACCCTGGGCCAGCAGGACCCCACCTTGCTCTGTAGTCCATGGCAGGTGGTGGACCCAGTGGGAACGTGTCCCTGGAAGCAGTTTTGGTTGTGCTCGGCCAGTGCTAGCCATGCCATGCTTGCAAGGGGCCTGGGGATGGAAAGGGAGTGCTGGGCTTTGCAGAGAAGCCCGTTCCCCTGCCTCCCCTTAACTATATCCCCTGGGGGTGAGCATCAGCGGGAAGCAGCTGCGGTCTGTCCTGGAGGGGCAGGTTTCCTGTGCTGCAGGGGGGATGGGGGACAGAGTAAAAGCGTTTCCTGACACCTGGCTACTTTAGCATGCCAGATGGCAGAGGCTTGGCATCGATGCCCTCATGGCGATGCCTAGAATAGATGCGCTTGCAACGCACAAGTTAACACCGCTGCCAAGGCCTGGAGCACTTTGCTTTCTGTCCTTCCAGCCCTTTCCCTCCAGGCCCAGGGGGGAGCCCCCCTCACTGCCTGATACAGCGAGAGCTTCCCTGTACCTGTAGTAACCTGCCTGTCCTCAGGGGCCAAGGGAGCGTGGGCTAAAGCCGGTGGAGCCTCATGGAGCCTGACTGCACAGCTGGGGTGCACCTGGACTGGCTGCTCCCATCCCACGGGGCTTCGCAACCATCGATCAGCAAAGGCAGGGCTCAGCCCTCAGCTCAGCATGAGAGCAGGTTATCACGCGCTGCACTGGGCCGCAGCCCAAAGCACGTGGCACAGCCTGGTCCTGCGGCAGGCAGTGGGCTCCTGGCAGCGTGTCACTACAGGCTCCAGTCCCATAGCAGCATCTCTGCCAGCCTCCCTGGAAACAGCCCAGCAGTGCTCCCTGCCTGGCTGCAAGCTGTTTCTGCCTTAGGGAGTCACAGGAAGGAGGAGCATGGCCCCCTGCACCACCACCACCACCCCGGGCACTGCGTTGAACTCCTCCCCCTGCCCCGCACCAGAGCAGGTGCTGCCCTGGGCACCTGGCAGTGTGCCCCCTCCCCTCCCCCCAACCCCTGCTGTCTGAGAGCTGCAGCAGCACTGATAAATTAATTAGCGCCCGTGATTAATTAGTGATGAGCCGCCTCCGCTTGCCTCGCTCCCAGCCAATAAAGCAGGATTTACACTTCTCTGCTCTTTCCTTCCTCAGGGGAGGCTGAGGGGCGCTTGCAGCTGACCAGGGCCGACCTGGAGCAGCTGGCCCGCGGCGAGGAGGATGTCGTGGAGGACCTTGACATCTCTGATGAGGACTGAAGGCCTCAGGACCTCATGGACAATGGCACGTGGCTGCAGAGGGCAGTCACTGGCTGGTGCCACGGCACAGCCCTCTCCCACCCACTTCCCAGGAGGCAGTAAGAGCCCCATGGGGCGGGCAGCCGCCTGCCACAGGGTGCAGGGGAGGGCTCCCTCACCAAGGCAGTGAAGACGCCGCTTGGACGCCTCAGCCCTTTTCCCACCAGTTTTATGGTTTTGGAGAACGTAATAAAATTTGTGGTCAGGTCTGGGCCAGTAAAACAGCTCCGCAGAGGTAATAAAAACACCCTCATTAAAATCCAACTTCGGAGCCAGCCAAGGCTCACTGCAGCTCCACCAGAGTGGTGAGGAACCGAACAGCAGGGCAGAGGGGGTGCCAGCCCTACTGAAGCTCCAGGCTGCGGTGCCACGCACCCCTGGGCAATGTCCAGGGGCCACCCACTGGCTCCCCAGTCCCTGGCCAAAGTGCCTCAGCTCTGCTAAGTCCTCGAGGGCTAACTGCAGTGTCGATACTGGAGTTTCCCGCTGCCACCCAAAGCAGACCAGCCCCATGCACCACTGCAAATGGTTGAGGGTGTTGCCTCTCACTGGTGTGCGGAGTGGGAGTTCTGGGGTAGGTCCCCCCAGGAACGATGCAGGCAGGCGGCTCGGCCCTGAGAAATCTCACCCACCTCCTGGTGCAGCTCTGCTCTGTCTTAAGCAGAGAACACCCCCCCCGCCAGAGCCGGCAGGAGGGCTCCTCATATGCGTTCAGTCATGGCTGGTTACGTTTGTGATGAAAAGGCTCTGCAGGGCCGATGGCACGAAGAGCCAAAGCCCCAAGCACACGAGCTGGGCTCTCTCCCAGCTCCAGTGGCTCCAGCTGCCTTGTCCACCCTGCTCAAAGGGTGGACAGCGTGTGCTGCTTCTAGCTCGCTCGGTCTTTCTCCTTGTTGCTTCCCATGGGCTGAGCCCACAGCACAAGGACACTGCTGCAGAACTAGGCCACCTGAGGTTTTGGCCTTTGGTGCCTTTGCTGCTGTGAGAGCAAAGCTCACAGTCTTCTGGAAATTACTTACGTAAGGAACTCAGCCAGCAGTGAGACAGATCACTGCTCCCTGCCTGCACCCCTCCTCATCTCTGAGTTATCAGCACATGGGAGCTGGTCACTGCTGGGCCACTTGCGCTTATTTGCCTTCCCCTTGGATGGTGATGTGAGGCAGAGCATCCGGTCTCCTTACGCTCGGGAGCAGAGCAGGCTCAATATGGGAATCATTGAGATAGATGGGGGAAGCGGAGCCTTGGCAGGGCATTAATCAAATCCCTTTCTAGAGCATGGCTGCAGCCTCACACCACTTGCTGCCCTGCTCCTCGGGGCTGGCAGTGATTGCTCTCTGCTTGGAGGGGAAGCGGGAGACATACTAGGTACCTGGCTCTCCTCTTCACTTTGCCCTGAAGCTGCTCACGTCTTGTCTTCTCTGGTGACCAGAGTAGCAGGTCCCAGTTACCTGCATCCTATGCTACAGTCCCAGCTAGTCAAAAGCAGGGCTTAGCACCACGAGGGCAGTACAGCTTCCCCTTGGGCTGTGCTTCCCCAAAGCCAAGTGGGAGCCAGAGTGTATCTCGGTTTCCGTCCAGTGCAAGGACAGCAGCCATCGCCCTCACTCCAAGCTCCCTGCTCCTCGGTTTGTGCAGAGCTGCTCAGCTCCTGCTTCAGGACATCATTGTTGCTCTGGTGAGTCACAGTGCAGCAGCACTGGGGGCATTTCCAGCTAAACCTTAGCTTCTTGCTGGTGTTTTGGGAAAGGGGCTCAAACCTTTTTTTTTCCGTCTCTTAATTTTGTTGGTAATGGTTCAAGAGACATATGGAATCCAGATTTGTGGTCAGACAACAGGCAAGAGCTGTCTTCTCCTTACCTCACTGCGTTTTGCCAGGGCTAGGAGCTGCCTTCAAAGGCAACAGTACAGTTGAATAATGCCCCTTCCCACCATGGAGCATGTAGGTGCTGGGGGGGTGTCAGAGGAAGGGCTGTTCTCTGCAGCCCAAAGATGGCTGTTGTCTCAGCACAGCACCCCCAAGACGCGCACTGACCAGCCGAGGATGGTGCAGGCCTGACAACGCACAGGGCCTTTCTGCAGAGCTGCTGGAGCGCAGTCCGTGACGTGGATGAGCTCAGGGATGCGCCATCCAGCAGCCATGGGGAGCGGCGTTTGCAACGCTGGGGTGTGACTCCTGTAGCCACGTGGCCAGGTTTTATGTTCCGACCGGACGCTCTGCTCCACGGTCTCACCACATCCTGTGACAGCAGAGTCCGTGCTGCTGTATGCCAGCAGTGCCCTGGACTGCAGGCATGGTGCTGGGGGAGCAAGTCGTTTGCAGTAGCTGTGTTGTGATAGCAGAGGGGGTTTGGCTCCCAGAGTACCCCCGAGTTGTGCATGCGGGAAAAGGGGAGCAGGGCAGTCTTTCCATCCTGCGATCTGCTCCATTAAGTGGCATGAAGGGAAGTTGGGGTATAGACTCCAAACTTCTTTTTCTCTACTTTTTAAAAAGCTTGAAAGGGGAATTTCACTTTGAAGCAAAAGAAAACTGGTTCCATTTCGGTTTAGCTTCCCCTCTAGAGAGGGAGTAGAACCAAATTCTTCATGCTAAGAGAAAGTGGTAGTTGTTGTACTATAACCCCTCTTGTCTGTGGCTATCAAGTTTTACCCTCAAGACAGTTCTGACTTGCTCTGCAAATGCTTCCTGCTCCACCCCTGCCCATGCAGCCCCAGTTTGGGCCTCCCAGCCTCCCTGTGGGGGCCTTAGCAGCAAGAGCCTTTCAGCCCATTTCTCAGTGTTGCTCTTTCTGGTCATACACCTGGATTGGGCTCTTCCGCCCAGCCGTCTTGCAGTACAGGAGGGACCCAGGTCAAATGCAAAAGAAACACGGTCCCAGCACGCAGGGCTTGCAGTCCTCAACCTGAGTATGTGGGAGACGTCTGCACATACCTGAGCACTGGCAGATGTCGGCCCGGGAGAAGCATGTACCCTGGGTAAATTAAGTGGTTTTTTTATTTAAATCGATTGCTGGAAAGCCGTTATCGTGACGTGATGGATAATGACAATTCTTTTTACAATATAAAGAAGCTAATGTACCACCAAGCTATTTGTTAAGGAAAAAAAAACCCCCAAACGGTAGCACGTGCAACGTTTAAACAAAAAGGAAAGAGAGAGAGAGAGAGAGAGAGAGAGAGAGAGAGCAAGACGTACCACATGTGATTGTTGCTCACAACTGTACACGTCACAGAAGGGCACCTCCGGGAATCACCGTCTCGTTCACAGTAGTAAAAACCCTTCCCACGTCCAGCCTGAGTTCCCTGCCCCCGCGGGCACGCGCAGGGCCCGGCCTCCTGGTGCTTAGCAGCCCAGAATGTGCACCTACGCCCGCCTCTGTAACAAGGCTTGTAGAAAAAGAGCACCCCCTTCCCCCAGACAAACAGGCAATGAGACACGCGTCTGCTGTACACGTCCCGGCAGCGCTGGGAAATGCGCAGGAGAACCCCCGCCCCGCTGGGCACACGCTCTCCTATTGCAGTTTTTTTTCTTTTTAAAACAAAATGTTTTATACATACATATATATATATATGTGTGTGTATATATCTATATATATGTATGTGTGTGTGTATACACACACATGTCCTGAAGGGGCTGGGGATGGGAGGGAAGCCACCAGAGTCTCTTGTCTCTGCATGGTGGTGGCAGGGGCACTGTGCCATGGGGGGTGCAGGGGG